TGGAGGAATCGAAATATGGAAGTGCCAAAAATTCAAAAATAGAAAAATTGAAGAATTGAAAAAGGGAGGGAATTGAAAAACTGAAAAACCGAGGAATCGAAAAATGGAGTAATCGGAAAATCAAAAAATCGGGAAATTGAAAAATCGTCAAGGCGAAAAATTGAAAAACCGAAAATTTAAAATTGAAAAATCGAGAACTCAAAACGTCGCAAAATCCGAAAATCTAAAAGCCAAAAAAATAGAGAAATCGAAAATCTAAAAAATCGAAAAATCAATTAATCGATTTTTTTATTTTAAATTATTAAATAAATAAATAAATAAATAAATAATCGAAAAATCTACAAATAAAAAACCGAAAAATAACATCAAAAAATTAAAAAATCCATAAATTGAAAACTCCAGTAATCGAAAAATAGAAAAATTGACAAATCGAAAAACCGAAAATTTTAAAAATTGAAAAATCAGAAAGCTGAAAATTCAAACACTGAAGAATTGTAGAACTGGAAAATTGAGAAATCGAGAAGTCAAAAAATGAAAAAATCTAATCTAAAAGTCGAAAAAACGAGAACTGGAAAAGTTGAAAAATCGAGAAATCAAGAAGTCGAAAAATCCAGAAATGGAAAAATTAAAACATCAGAAAATCTAAAAGCCGAAAAGCGAGAAATCTAAAATATTGAAATGCCAAAAATTGAAAAATAGAATAATCGAAAAACTGAAAAATCGAGAAATCAAGAAGTCGAAAAATCGAAAAGCTAAAAAATCGAAAAATCAATTAATCGAAAAATCTAAAAATAAAAAATCGAAATTTTTTTATTGAAAAATTCAAAACTCGTAGAATTGATGAACTGAAAAACCGAAAAATCGAAACATTGATAGTAGAAGAAGTAAACAATCGAAATATTGAAATGATCCCAAAACTGAAATATCGAAAAATTGAAAAAATGGAAAAAATTAAAGAATCGAAAAACTGAAAAATCGAGAAATCGAAAAGCCGAAGAATCGAAAATTTAAAGAAATGAAGAAATCGATAAATCGTAGATTCGAAATAGTGAAAAAATCCAAAACTGATGTATCGAAAGAGTGAAAAATGGAAGAATAATTGAAAAACTGAAAAATCGAAACATTGAAAACTCGAGAAATGGGAAAATGGAAAACTCAATTAATTGAGAAATTGAGAAATCAAAAGCCGAAAATTCAAAAACATCAGAAATTGAAAAATCGAAAAATCAAAAATTTTAAAAACCGAAAAATTGAAATCTCGACGCCCTGGAAAATCAAAATATTGAAAAATTCTAAAACTGAAATATAGAAAACTTGAAAAGTAGGAAAAAAATTGAAGAATCGAAAAAATAAAAAACTCTGAAAATTGAAACATGAAAAATTGAAAAATTGAAAAATCGAAAAATTAAAACCTTGAAAAATTGAAATGTGTATTCAAAAAATCCCAAAACTGAAATATCGAAAAATTCAAAAATATTTAGAAGAAAAACTGAAGAAACGAAACATCGAAATTTTCAAAAACTGAAGCATGGAAAAGCCGAAAAATTGAGAAATCGAAATAGCCTAAAATCGAAAGATCGAAAAATTAAAAATTGAGAAATTTAAAATAAAAAAATCCATAAATCGAAAAATCGAGAAATTTAACAATAAAAAAATCGAAAGATCGAAATATCGATAAATCGACAAAATTGAAAAACTGAAAAACTGAAAAATCGAAAATCGAAAGATCGAGGAATCGAAAAATCAAAAAAATGAAAAATCGAAATTCTACAAACGTTTTAAAAATTGAAAAATTCAAATATCGAAAAGTGGAAAAATCGAGAAATTGGAACATCAAAAAATCGAAATATCGAGAAATCGAAAATGCAGAATTTGAAAAATTCCAAAACTGAAATGACAACTTGGGAAATCGAAAAATTAAAAAATCTGAAAATTGAAACATCGAAAAATTGAGAATTGAAGTCGAAAAATCGAAACACTAGATTTCTAAAAATATCAAGATATCTCCAAAAAAGGTCTCGAGGTTGGCCACTGATTTTTTTTTTATTTTAATTAAAATGCTTCTCCCGGGAATTTTTTTAAATCAAGTCCGAGATTTTTTAAAATTCGTTTTATTAAAATACCAAGAAACTTTACAATATCAAAAAAAAAACTCGCAGACTTCCAAGGTCTTTTTCGATTTATTTTTTCAAATGAAATTCCACCAAGATTCTTTCAATTTTTTTTTTTTTCAAAAACAAAATACCAGATGTCCCCAAAAGCCGTTTACACCATTAAAAAAAGACACTAGAGACCCATGAAACTTTTAATTTTTATTTTTTTAATTAACTTTAATTATATCCTGAGGTCTCTTTTTTAAAAAACTGAAAAATCAAAATATCAAGAAATCGAATAGTGGAAAAATTGAATTATCAGAATATCGATAAATCGAGAAATTGAAAAGCCCAAAAATTGAAATACGAGTTAAAAAATCGAAAAATCGGACAATTGAAACACGTCGAAAAATTGTAAAATCCAGAAATTGAAAAGTTACCAAAATTGAAAAATTGAGAATCGAAAACTTGAAAAACCTAGAAATCTAAAAATCGAAAAGTTGAAAAATTTTAAAAGCCAAACATTTAAAATTTCAAAATTTTAAAAATCGAGAAATTGAAACGCCAAAAAGTCGAAAAATAGAAAAATCGAGAAATTGAAAAACCGAAAAACAGAAAAATCGAAAACTTGAAAAATCGGAAAGCTGAAAAATCTAAAATCGGAAGATCGCGGAATCGAAAAATTAAAAAAATAAAAAATCGAAATACCGAGAAATCGAAAATCCAGAATTTGAAAAATTCCAAAACTGAAATGACGAAAACTTGGGAAATCGAAAAACTGAAAAATCGGAAATTTAAAAATTGAAAAATCGAGAAACTGGACAACTAAAAAATCGAAAAATCGAAATCTCTATAAATGGAGAAATGGGAAAATTGGAAAACCGAAAAATTGAAAAATAAAAATATCGACGAACTGAAAAATTCAAATTTCGAAGAATCGAAATATTGAAAAATTCCAAAACTGAAATATCCAAAAATTCAAAAATATTTAGAAGAAAAACTGAAGAAATGAAACATCAAAATTTTCAAAAACTGAAGCATGGAAAAGCCGAAAAATTGGGAAATCGAAATAGCCTAAAATCGAAAGATCGAAAAATTAAAAATTGAGAAATTTAAAATAAAAAAATCCATAAAACTAAAAATTGAGAAATTTAACAATGAAAAAATCTAAAGATCGAAATATCGATAAATCGACAAAATTGAAAAACCGAAAAACTGAAAAGCCAAGAACCGAAAAGTCGAAAATCGAAAGATCGAGGAATCGAAAAATCAAAAAAATGAAAAATCGAAATTCTACAAACGTTTTAAAAATTGAAAAATTCAAATATCGAAAAGTGAGAGAAAAAATCGAGAAATTGGAACATAAAAAAATCGAAATATCGAGAAATCGAAAATGCAGAATTTGAAAAATTCCAAAACTGAAATGACAACTTGGGAAATCGAAAAATTAAAAAACCGTAAAACTTAAAAATCGAAAAATTGAAAAATAAAAAGATCGACGAACTGAAAAATTTTAAAATTAGTATATTGAAAAATTGAAAAATAGAAGAGATTTAAAAATTGAAGAATCGAAAAGTGGGAAAATCGATTTTTTTTTTAATTGAAAAATTCAGAACTCATAGAATTGATGAACTGAAAAACCGAAAAATCGAAACATTGATAGTAGAAGAAGTAAAAAATGGAAATATTGAAAACATCCCGAAACTGAAATATCGAAAAATTGAAAAATGGAAAAAATTAAAAAATCTAAAAACTGAAAAATCGAGAAATCGAAAAGCCGAAGAATCGAAAATTTAAAGAAATGAAGAAATCGATAAATCGTAGATTCGAAATAGTGAAAAAATCCAAAACTGATGTATCGAAAGAGTGAAAAATGGAAGAATAATTGAAAAACTGAAAAATCGAAACATTGAAAAATCGAGAAATGGGAAAATGAAAAAATCAATTAATTGAGAAATTGAGAAATAAAAATTTTAAAAACCGAAAAATTGAAATCTCGACGCACTGGAAAATCAAAATATTGAAAAATTCCAAAACTGAAATATAGAAAATTTGAAAAGTAGGAAAAAAAATTGAAGAATCGAAAAAATAAAAAACTCTGAAAATTGAAACACGAAAAATTGAGAAATTGAAAAGTCGAAAAATCGAAAAATTAAAACCCTGAAAAATCGATTAATTCAAAACATCCCAAAACTGAAATATCGAAAAATTGAAAATTTAAAGAAATTGAGATCCTAGAATTGAAATAGTGAAAAATCCCAAAACTAAAATATCGAAAACGCGAAAAAAGGAAAAATCGAAAAATCAGAAACCTGAAAAAACGAAAAATTGAATAATCATGAAACTGAAACATGGAAATATTGAGAAAATAAAAAACTCGGGAAGTTGGAAATTCAAAGAATCGAAAAATTGAAAAATCGAAAGCTGAAATAAAAACTAAAAAACCCAAAATTGAAATATCGATAGTTCAGGACTATGTTGCTTTTTAGCATTTATTCGACAAAATTGTAAGATGAGATCATCAATTCCTTTTTTTTAATTTTTATTTTCATTAAATTCTGAAAAAAGACACCCGACACTTTTTCAATTTTTTTTAACTCAACACTAGGGCTCCCAAGACTTTTTTTTTATTAAAACGCTAGGGGACTCCGAGATATTTTCCCGTACTTAAAAAAAGGCAGTGAGGCCCTCGAAAAACCTGAGGGTTTATCCAGAAAAAATTGAAGATGACGTCATTAAGTTCTTAAATAGTGTTAACATTAATCTTAACACAGTTACTAAATTAGTCAAACGTGAATATGAACATGAAGCGTCGACCATAAATGTGCCGCCTCTCCGAAAAACCAATCATACTACAAGCGCACCCTCAAACCATATCATAACAAAACACAACCAACACACGCCTACCTTTTTGCTGAATTTCGACGTTTTGATCTCTATAAAAGCGGCAGCTACGGCCTTCATGTACGACCTCGGATTATTGAAAGTAACTCTGCCGGATCCAATCGGATACTTGTACTTATCCGTGTCGATCCCCGTATAAACGACACCGTCAAACAGATCGTTCATGATTTTCGCCAGCCCTTCAGCGTTCAGCATCCCGTGGAGCGCCCCCACGAACACCGTCTTGTTCGGATCCAGCTTCTGCGTAGTCGATTTCGTGCAGTTGGAATCGTTGAGAATCCACGGGATGACTTGCACCTGCCAACCAAACACCCATTTAGTAACACACTGTCCCCGAAAAAAGCACCAGAGTCACCTCTTTGGCTTTCATGCGCTTCGAGCTGATCTTGTAGTACCAGTTTCCGGAATTGGCGTAGTCGTTAGTACAAGCTTGCAATAAAGCCTTAACGTTTTTTTCAGACTCGAAAATGATATAAACGTATCCTTTTGGTTGCGAAACTTGCTTTTCTTTCCCCGGCCATTCCACGCGTATGAGTCCAAATTGCTTGAACGCTTGTATCAGAGCTTGCTCGGAAATGTCCCAGGGTACGCCGCCCAGAAATACTTTACTGGAATAACCAGAAGGTTTCGTGGTGCGTGGGGGTAGGACACCGCTCCAGGTCCAAGTCGCTTCACAAACCGCTACAACAAAATTCAAAAAACAACTATAGACATTTCTTACGAATTCTTACATGCCGCGGACCGGTGAAAACGAGCCGCTCTGTCCAACTGCAACCCGTCGGCAACGTTAACCAAAGAAGCCCCAGAATTCCACTTGTCAAGAACGTGCTAAAAACACCACAATAACCCACAGACGTACAGTCGAGTCAACGTACCGAACTTCCGCGTGTGCAAGACGAGGGCAAAAGCGAGCCCAGGACTCCTGAAGGGTGCTGCAAGCACTTGAGGGCCTGGATTGCTTGTAAGCTGTGAAGGCTCGACAAATCTACCTCGTCTCTGAGAAAATTCCGGGCCAGGGTGTCGTTCAGAGACAAAGAGTTCTGCTGCAACAGCACGATTTGTTTTCTAGTTGGGGAAGATAAGCTTTGCTCACCAATATGACGGAGAGGTTTCCATCGACGTTTGAACAACTGCTGGCGTCTGATTCCGGCGAGTTCGAGCGAGAGCCGCTGCTGCTGAAGAGCGAACGCTCGAGGATACTGGGGCTGTTGCTGCCGCAGAAATCGCTACTGCAATGGTTAAGTAATTTAAACTCAGAGAACGAATTCACTAGGATTTTTTTGCATTGGATTAAATCTTTCACAGTTTTTCAAAAAACGGAGGTGTTTCACCATACTTCCATTATATATATATTAGGGTGATTCAAAAAAAAAAATATTTTTTTTTTCGTGCAAAGAGGTTCAAAAGTTTCTTTTCAACGTAAAAAAATACCAGTTAAAATTTGAGCTCTTAATATTAATATTAAGACCGTCCGCATCGCGTTTTTCTATTTCCCATAAGAATAACATGGGAAAATTTTTGTTTGCACCTTCTGATTTTTATTGCTAGCCCGTCGTGTGTCGTGAAAAAAATTCAATCACATATTTTTATAGAGAATTGAACGCTCTACAAAAAGTGTCTCCTATGATTGTGCGAGAAACCTGATAGTTGAAGAGTTATTTTAGGCTAAAGTTAAATTTATCCAAATTTTGACGTTTTTGATGCATTACAATAAATTTGATGGTCTTATTGGAATAAATCACCACAAAAATTTATACACATTTTAAATTTAGTTTTTTAAACAGTAATTGTTTATAATTTTATGCTATAATAAGGCCAGTAAAACTCTTTCCGAACATTTTCAGCATCAGTGGGTTAAAAAATCATAGTCAGGTTTCTCGCAAAATCATAGGAGACACTTTTTGTAGAGCGTTCAATTCTCTATAAAAATATGTGATTGAATTTTTTTCACGACACACGACGGGCTAGCAATAAAAATCAGAAGGTGCAAACAAAAATTTTCCCATGTTATTCTTATGGGAAATAGAAAAACGCGATGCGGACGGTCTTAATATTAATATTAAGAGCTCAACTTTTAACTGGTATTTTTTTACGTTGAAAAGAAACTTTTGAACCTCTTTGACACGAAAAAAAAAAATATATTTTTTTTTGAATCACCCTAATATATATATATAAAAAATACTGGGCTTTTTCAGTAGCTGTTTCAAATTAACTAGTAGTAGTTTAAATTTTACAAAAAAGCGAAAATCTTGATCAAAATTTTTCACCGCAGTCATCACTAAGGTTACAACATGTTTACAATTTTCCTTTTTCATACACTTCGTTACCAACTCGATTTAGAAAAAAAATCTGATAGTTCTCGCTAAACAATACGGGCGAATTTGACACGAAATAACATTAAATAATAACCCTAAAGACTGATATAAAATTAAAAAATTAAAAATTCAACAGACTAGTTAGACTATAGTCTGGATTTAAAGTTGTTTCTGCTTCGTTTGCATTTACAACAAAAACATGAAATTTCTCACCCCCTTTTGACCAAATTATTGAAAAAAAAAAATCGAGTAATGGGGCTCCGTTGCCCTTTTCTGCTCTCTCTCCCACTAATCAACCCATACATACCACGGTGAGGAGCTCGCCAGCGACTGGAACGAAGAACTGCCCAATGGTAAATTCAGCGGGTACTTGGGCATGCTGATGGGTGAGTAGGTCATAGGTGACGTCGGAAACTTCGATTCGTCAAAATTCAGCTGAAAGCACAAAAAACGCCAAAATAAACACGAAACCAGCACGTCAGTACGACTTAATTAACAACATTTCCCATTGTTAAGCACAAAAGAACGAATCGAAAAATTACCTGCAGATTTGTAGAATTGACAGGTGGCGTGGCGAGCCCATATGTCGCAGAATTCGCAAAATCCAACAAACCCCTCGGCGAATTCAAGCCAAATAAGTCACTTATAGACATCGTTTCACCTGACACAAACGGAACTTTATTTGCTTGAGAAATGACTCGTTAAAGCGATTTTTAATGCGTTTCAAACTTCAAAACAAGCAATCGGCAGCGACTTTTCTTCACTTGTCGAAAAAAGTGACGCGAAAAAGCGCGGCCAACTAATGGTAAAAAACGCAGCAAAAAGTTATCGGGTCGTTGTGGAATGTAAGAGGGATTGGGATTTTTGGGCAATTGTTGTTCTTCGTTTTTTGTTTTATTTTTTTACACGTTGCGATATGACAAAGTTGTTTAGTTGAGTGCTTTAATGCTTTAATGGAGTTTCGTAACAGAACTGGTGTAATTTATGTTTTCAGATTGGTAGTCATTGCAAAATTAATTGTTATATAAACAAATAAAACAAACGTTGAAGAATGAAAACTGTTCTTTGGACGCAAACGCGATTTATTTGGCAATGAATTTTGGGTGCTACTTTGGGTAATTTCACGTATTTTTGGGGGCGCAAGGTTGTCTTTAGCTTAAAATAATGTTAATAATAATTTTTTTATTGTGAAAATTTAAACTTCAAATGTTACATACAATCTGACATTTGTCGTGTCAACCATGACAAAATTCCCCAAAATTTTTAAATATGCCATTTTTTAAGGAAAAAAGGAACCTCTGAGATTCTTTCACATAAAAAAAGACATTAGGCACCCCCGCGATTATCCTTCAAAAAAAAAAAAACAAAAGCCCTTGAGATTCTTCCAAATTCTTAAAACAGAGTCACCAAGTGCCCCCGAGATTCTTCCGTTTGAGCTTCAAATGTTACGATCTGACATTTGTCGTACCAATCACGAAAAAAAATCCCCAAAGTTTAAAAAAATGCCAATTTTTATTTAAAAACGACGGCTGACGTCTCGTTTTTCAATTTTGGGATTCATGCTAAAAAAAATCACTAGAAGCCCCCCTGATTCTTTCGAACTAAAAAAAAAGACACCAGAGCCCCCCGGGATTCTTACATTCTTAAAAAAAAAGAAAAAATTTAAGCTTCGAATGTTGCAATCTGACATTTGTCATACCAATCCCCAAAATTAAAAAAAATGTCAATTTTCATTTAAAAATGACGTCTGACAACTTTGGGATCGATGCTAAAAAAAACTAGAAGTCCCCCAGGCTCTTTCGAATTAAAAAAAAAAGGAGACTAGGGGCCTTGGGATTCTTTGACATTCTTAAAAGAAAAAAAATAATACAAAGGGCACCCCGGTCCTCTTTTGTGATAAAAAAATATCACCAAAGGTCCCCGTGACTCTTTCACACTCATAAAAAAAAAAATGCCAATTTTCTTTTAAAAATGATGTCAAAAAAACACTAGAAACCCCCCAAATTCTTTCCAACTTTTAAAAAAAGGTACTAGGAGTCTCTGGTATTCATTAACATTCTTAAAAAAAAATAAAGGGCGGGTGGGCGGGGCTAGTATCTGCTAAGATAAAAGTGATTTTGGCAGATGAGATACCCTCTAAAAAAAGAGAGGGCGGGTGGGCGGGGCTAGTATCTGCTAAGATAAAAGTGATTTTGGCAGATGAGATACCTTCTAAGAAAAGAGAGGGTGGGTGGGCGGGGCAGGTACTCGTTAAGATAAGACTGATTCTGGCAAATGATAAGACTTATAAAAAAGCTCGATGTTGTAGACAAACATTGGCATTACTTATGTGTTATACTTGTTTTAATATACTGGGTGTCTGGAAAATGGCGAATAAACTCTCCGGTACGCTTTTAACAATAACTGGTGAGTTTGGGAAACAGTAAAAAAAATTCCTTCTCACATTTTGGTGGAGTTATAATGATTTTAAATTTGGTTCTTTTGTTACGTTTAACAACTAAATAAAACATTCATTTTCACAATAACTAGTAATAAAAGTTTTAGTTCTTATTTTAGTTGGTACTAGCCCCGCCCACCCGCCCTCTCTTTTCTTAGCGGGTATCTCATTTGTCAAAATCACTCTTATCTTAGCAGCTATTACCCCCCGATTGGTTATTGTCCTAAAAAAATCAAAGGTGGATTACAATCACCATCGTTACTAAGAAATCAGAAAGTAGTCGGAGGTATTCACAAAAATTCAAATTTTTTATTTTTTTTGAGGATTTCCGAAACCCCTAAGTTAAGAAGAGTTAATCCGCCATTTTCCAGATACCCGGTATAAAGGTTATCATAAATAAATATCCTGAAAATTATTTTTTTCATTAGTAGAAACCGTAAGACAATAAATTGAAAAAATAAACTTTCAATTTTTTGACGCAAAATGATTTTGTTTTGATTTCTAATCAAACTTAACCTAAATCTTCAACACAAAGAAAACCGTTTACACGTCGCTGAATTAATCATTTTATGTTTCACCATCTATCAACTACCTGCGTATACTCAAGCAATGTTAATAGCACACATTTATTTATTTTTTAAGAAATCATCACATCAAATATTTCATACATAACCTCAATCTTCTTTTTGAACCTTGGTTGCAAAAGTTGAACTTTACTCCCTCTAAACAAGTCGACAATTGCATGCTTCATGGCGATTAGTGAAAAAAAAAAAAACTAAAACCCCCGGACTCTTTCGAAATTAAAGAAAAACAACACCAAGAGCCTCCAGTATTCTTTAAAATTCTAAAAAAAAAAAAAACAGAAGGGATCCCTGACATTCTTTCGCATTAAAAAAACAACACTGAAGGGTCCAGATCTAATTCGTCTTAAAAAAAATGCACTAGGGGCCTCCGCGTTTCTTTCACATTCTTAAAAAAAAGACAAGGTTTGGCATAAAGGAAAAAACATTATTAGGAACCCCCGCAATTTTTTCGCTTTAAAAAATATCACTAGGGCCTTTGGATAATTTCCCGGATATTTGGAAACAGTATTATTGTCTTCATCTTTACACATTGTTAAACAAATGCTACAATCTGACATTTGTTGTACCAACCACGACAAAATTCTCCAAAATTAAAAAAAAATGCCAATTTTCATGTCTGACTTCTCGTTTTTTGAGTTTGAGACTCATGCAAAAACTATAATTGAGAGTGTTTCGAACTTAAAAAAAAGACACAAAAAAAACACCAAGATAGTCTTTCGCTTTAAAAAAATCTCGCTAGGGGCCCCCATGATTTTCCCGTTATAGTAAAAAACACAGTATCTGTAGCACAAAAAAAATGCATTTTCACATAATTAAACAAATAATAATTAATTAGTGTGAAAACTGAAACTTCAAATCTGACATGTGTCATACCAACCATAACAAAATTCTCCAAAATTAAAAAAAGCCAATTTTCTTTTAAAAATGATGTCAAAAAAAAAACTAGAAACCCCCCAAATTCTTTCCAACTTTTAAAAAAAGGTACTAGGAGCCTCCGCTATTCATTAACATTCTTAAAAAAATACAGAAAGGAACCATGACATTCCTTTGGATAAGAAAAAACAGAGTACTTCCTAAAATATGAGTGATTTGGAAAATAACAAGCTCTAAGAAAATAAAGAGTTGGGGGTTGGGCTACTACTTGCTAAGATAAGACTGATTTTGGCAAATGATAAACAAATAAAGGGTGGGCTAGTCCTTCGTAAGATATGACTGATTTGGAAAATAACATATCCTCTGAGAAAATAAAGGGCGGGTGGGCGGGGCTAGTATCTCCTAAGATAAAAGTGATTTTGGCAGATGAGATGCCTTCTAAGAAAAGAGAGGGTGGGTGGGCGGGGCAGGTACTCGTTAAGATAAGACTGATTCTGGCAAATGGTAAGACTTATAAAAAAGCTCGATGTTGTAGACAAACATTGGCATTACTTATGTGTTATATTTGTTTTAATATACTGGGTGTCTGGAAAATGGCGAATAAACTCTCCGGTACGCTTTTAAGAATAACTGGTGAGTTTGGGAAACAGTAAAAAAAAATCCTTCTCACATTTTGGTGGAGTTATAATGATTTTAAATTTGGTTCTTTTGCTACGTTTAACAACTAAACAACACATTCATTTTCACAATAACTAGTAATAAAACTTTTACTTCTTATTTTAGAAGGTGCTAGCCCCGCCCACACGCCCTCTCTTTTCTTAACGGGTATCTCATTTGCCAAAATCACTCTTATCTTAGCAGGTACTAGCCCCGCCCACCCACCCTCTCTTTTCTTAGCAGGTATCTCATTTGCCAAAATCAGTCTTATCTTAGCAGCTACTAGCCCCCCTGATTGGTTATTGTCCTAAAAAAAATCAAAGGTGGATTATAATCACCATCGTTACTAAGAAATCAGAAAGTAGTCGGAGGTATTCACAAAAATTCATTTTTTTTAATTTTTTTGAGGATTTCCGAAACCCCCAAAGTTAAAAAGAGTTAATCCGCCATTTTCCAGATATTCGGTATAAAGGTTATCATAAATAAATATCCGGGAAATTATTTTTTTCATTAGTAGAAACCGTAAGACAATAAATTGAAAAAATAAACCTTCAATTGTTTGACGCAAAATGATTTTGTTTCGATTTCTAATCAAACTTAACCTAAATCTCAACACAAAGAAAACCGTTTACACGTCGCTGAATTAATCATTTTATGTTTCACCATCTATCAACTACCTGCGTATACTCAAGCAATATGAATAGCACACATTTATTCATTTTTTAAGAAATCATCACATCAAATATTTCATACATAACCTCAATCTTCTTTTTGAACCTTGGTCGCAAAAGTTGAACTTTACTCCCTCTAAACAAGTCGACAATTGCATGCTTCATGGCGATTAGTGAAAAAAAAAACTAAAACTCCCGGACTCTTTCGAAATTAAAGAAAAAAAACACCAAGAGCCTCCAGTATTCTTTAATATCCTTTAAAAAAAAAAAACAGAAGGGATCCCTGACATTCTTTCGCATTAAAAAAACAACACTGAAGGGTCCAGATCTAATTCGTCTTAAAAAAAATGTCACTAGGGGCCTCCGCGTTTCTTTCACGTTGTTAAAAAAAAGACAAGGTTTGGCATAAAGGAAAAAACATTATTAGGAACCCCCGCAATTTTTTCGCATTAAAAAATGTCACTAGGGCGTTTGGATAATTTCCCGGATTTTTGGAAACAGTTATATTATTGTCTTCATCTTTAGACATTGTTAATAGTAATTAATTAATGTGAAAATTTAAATTTCAAATGCTACAATCTGACATTTTTTGTACCAACCACGACAAAATTCCCCAAAATTAAAAAAAAAAAATGCCAATTTTCATGTCTGACTTCTCGTTTTTTGAGTTTGAGGCTCATGCAAAAACAATAATTGAGAGTGTTTCGAACTTAAAAAAAAGAGACACAAAAAAAACACGAAGATATTCTTTTGCTTTAAAAAAATCTCGCTAGGGGCCCCACGATTTTCCTGTTAACGTAAAAAAAACACAGTAGGTTTAGCAAAAAAAAAAATGCATTTTCACATAATTAAATAAATAATAATCAATTAGTGTGAAAACTGAAACTTTGAATCTGACATGTGTCATACCAACCACAACAAAATTCTCCAAAATAAAAAAAAAGCCGATTTTCTTTTAAAAATGACGTCAAAAAAACACTAGAAACCCCCCAAATTCTTTCCAACTTTTAAAAAAAGGCACTAGGAGCCTCCGGTATTCTTTAACATTCTTAAAAAAATACAGAAGCGAACCATGACATTCTTTTGGATTAAAAAAAAACAGAGTACTTCCTAAAATATGAGTGATTTGGAAAACAACATAAGCTCTAAGAAAATAAAGGGTTGGGGGTGGGGATACTACTTGCTAAGATAAGACTGATTTTGGCAAATGATATACTCTCTGAAAAAATAAAGGGCGGGTGGGCGGCACTAGTGCTTCGTAAGATATGACTGATTTGGAAAATAACATATCCTCTAAGAAAATAAAAGGTGGGTGGGCGGTTCTAGTATTTGTTAAAATAAAAGTGATTTTGGCAGATGAGATACTCTCTAAGAAAAGATAAGGTGGGTGGGCGGGGCTAGTACCTGCTAAGATAAGGCTCTTTTTGGTAAATGACATACCTTCTAAAAAAAGACAGAGCGGGTGGGCGGGGCTAGTATCTGCTAAGATAAAAGTGATTTTGGCAGATGAGATACCTTCTAAGAAAAGAGAGGGTGGGTGGGCGGGGCAGGTACTCGTTAAGATAAGACTGATTCTGGCTAATGATAAGACTTATAAAAAAGCTCGATGTTGTAGACAAACATTGGCATTACTTATGTGTTAATATTTGTTTTAATATACTGGGTGTCTGGAAAATGGCGAATAAACTCTCCGGTACGTTTTTAACAATAACTGGTGAGTTTGGAAAACAGTAAAAAAAATTCCTTCTCACATTTTGGTGGAGTTATAATGATTTTAAATTTGGTTCTTTTGCTACGTTTAACAACTAAACAACATTCATTTTCACAATAACTAGTAATACAAGTTTTAGTTCTTATTTTAGCAGGTACTAGCCCCGCCCACCCGCCCTCTCTTTTCTTAGCGGGTATCTCATTTGCCAAAATCACTCTTATCTTAGCAGGTACTAGCCCCCCCCCCCCTTTTTTCTTAGAGAGTATCTCATTTGTCAAAATCACTCTTATCTTAGCAGCTACTAGCCCCCCTGATTGGTTATTGTCCTAAAAAAATCAAAGGTGGATTACAATCACCATCGTTACTAAGAAATCAGAAAGTAGCCGGAGGTATTCACAAAAATTCAATTTTTTTATTTTTTTGAGGATTTCTGAAACCCCTAAGTTAAGAAGAGTTAATCCGCCATTTTCCAGATACCCGGTATAAAGGTTATCATAAATAAATATCCGGAAAATTATTTTTTTCATTAGTAGAAACCGTAAGACAATAAATTGAAAAAATAAACCTTCAATTTTTTGACGCAAATTGATTTTATTTTGATTTCTAATCAAACTTTACCTAAATCTTCAACACAAAGAAAACCGTTTACACGTCGCTGAATTAATCATTTTATGTTTCACCATCCATCAACCACCTGCGTATACCCAAGCAATGTTAATAGCACACATCTATTCATTTTTTAAGAAATCATCACATCAAATTTTTCATACATAACCTCAATCTTCTTTTTGAACCTTGGTCGCAAAAGTTGAACTTTACTCCCTCTAAACAAGTCGACAATTGCATGTTTCATGGCGATTAGTGAAAAAAAAAAACTAAAACCCCCGGACTCTTTCGAAATTAAAGAAAAACAACACCAAGAGCCTCCACTATTCTTTAAAATTCTTAAAAAAAAAAACAGAAAAAAATGTCAAATTTTCATTCAAAAATGATGTCTGACGTCTCGTTTCTCAATTTTGGGATTCATGCCTAAAAAAGACAAGCTCCCCAGACACTATTTGGCATAAAAAAAATATACCATATACTAGGTGCCCCAGAGATTTTTTCATATTAAAAGAATTGCCCTAGGGTCTTTGGATAATTTCTCGTATTTCGGGAGGCCTAATATTATGGTCTTCAATTCACACATTGTTAAGAACGAATTAATTCATGTAAAAATTTGAGCTTCAAAATGTTAACAATTTGACATTTGTCGTACCAACCATGACAAAATTCCCCAAAGTTTAAAAAAATGCCAATTTTTATTTAAAAACGACGGCTGACGTCTCGTTTTTCAATTTTGGGATTCATGCTAAAAAAAATCACTAGAACCACCCCAGATTCTTTCGAATTAAAAAAAAAGACACCAGAGCCCCCGGGATTCTCACATTCTTAAAAAAAAAGAAAAAATTTAAGCTTCAAATGTTACAATCTCCCATTTGTCATACCAATCCCCAAAGTTTAAAAAAAATGTCAATTTTCATTTAAAAATGACGGACTCGTTCGAAATTAAAGAAAAACAACACCAAGAGCCTCCAGTATTCCTTAATATTCTTAAAAAAAAAACAGAAGGGATCCCTGACATTCTTTCGCATTAAAAAACAACACTGAAGGGTCCAGATTTAATTCGTCTTAAAAAAAAGTCACTAGGGACAAGGTTTTGCATAAAGGGAAAAAGGTAATTAATGTAAAAATTTAAACTTCAAACGTCACAATCTGACATTTTTCGTACTAATCACGACAAAATTCCCCAAAATTAAAAAAAAATGACAATTCTTATTTAAAAATGACGCCTGTTTAACTTAAAATCCTATAATATGGCATTTATTATACCAATACATACTTATTTCGCAGTCCGTACAAAAGAATCTCCCCAGATTCCTTACTCATTTAAAAAAGACACTCGGGGCCCGTGTAAGAGCGGCGACTTTTTTGGCAATTTAGTAAAATTTTCTATTACGAATTCGTAATACATATATTTAAAACAAATCTATTTTACTGATAGATGAGAATCTTCACACGCACGTTTGTTTTACGTCGAAAACATACTAAAAACTCACGTTTCTTTTGCGCCGGAAATACGCGTATTTACAATGTGACGTAAAATGAACGCAATGTTTCGGTTTTTTCGTCGACACATTAAAAATTCGCTTACTGTGTGTTTGCAACAATATGTCGTGCTGGTCCAGAAGCGAATTAATCGAATGCCTCTGCAAAATATCGCTGGCCAAAACTGAGTCATCTGCGGGTGGCGATACCTGAAAATAATAAACAACATTGCACAACCGGCGCCTCTGACCACTCACTCACCGCTGAATAAACGTCTCCTCGAACTCCAACTCCGACTAACATAATTCCGAATAATGATAAAAGTCGCTGGATGCATAGCAAATAGTTGGTCGTAAAATTGAAATAATTGCATCCACCACAAATCACTTGACAGGGTCAATATGATGTTGTACAGTTGCCAAAATGGGGCTATTACCATAAACAGCCAATGTATGTGATGTCTAATTGTCACAATCCTGCCCCACATTTTTTTAATTAAAGTCGAAAAACAGTAAAACTAACTGTTCATGATCAATTAACCCATCATTAATAATTATTAGTTATGTTATTAGAAACGTTCTGATAAATTTTCAACTAAATAGGTAACAACCTCTTATTGTATTACCGCCACTTACATCAGCCGTGTCGAAATCGGAATAATTTTTCATGGTTTAATTTTTTAATTAGTGCACACTTGGCGAAACATCTTACATAAAATTGAAATAAAGATGGTAAAAATGAAAGTCCGGCGAAATAAGTCGTGTTTAGCGGCCGTAACACCACATACGTAGAAATCGGAAAACGTATTTAACCTAATAACAATAAGAGTACCTGATTTTTCTGGAGACCTGGCATTCTTCGTTTAAATAATCATCACTCGAACACCACAACACCCGATGGCACGTGCTATCACTTTTGTCGGACTGTTTTTTCTGCGATGGTCACCCGAAGTGTGCTTACTGGAATTCGCTTCGGTACGATTGGCTACACAGGAGTGGAGGGGATGTGTTTACTTGTTGCACGTGTGCGCGCTACAGGTCGTTATATAAGAAACCCCCACGTAAAATTAATTTATTTAATCGGCTATCTTTACAATTATTTCACCACATTTTTTAATTTCGTTTCTAGATACTGGACTCGGTGAACTAGCTTATCGGATACTTTAAATTCGGTGTAGGGAATCGTCACGACTTTGTAGTTCTGGGATTGGAGGAGTCGGCACGCCAGCGCGTTCACCCCACTCGGCTCCACTTTCCCTATACACATGTCATGATAATCGAACGCTAGAATCGCGATTCGGAAAGTCTCGCCTCTGTTTTCGTAACCCTTGTTATAAGGCAGGGGGTTGCATTTTTTGTCAAGTAGGCACTCAGCGTCTGAAAACAAGTGTATTTTTATGCAACCAAAAAAAAATTAATTCATACCGATGGAGCACCCAAACCCGGTGTTCACGTTGACGTGAAGGTGATCCTCTAGGTTGATCAAATTTTTCAAAGTGTCCACCACAGAGTCTGCCATTTTCGTTTTCTCCTTAGACTTAGTCACACTCACGTCGTGAATATCAGACAAGGGTGACAACAAATCCCCTTCGTAGTTTTTCATTAATTTAGCGCTCGCATTAATGTTCAAAAGCTTCAACTTCCCGGCGGTTTTCGAGGGCGCAGCACCCTCGAACTTGCTCACGAAATCCGGCGCCAGAACGCTAGACAAGTGCGAGGGCGACGCCTGATTGAAAACCACCAAAGCCCAAACGTAGTTCAACCAAACTGGGGGCTTTCTAGCCTCTGAAAGCGACAACTGTGGCAACAAAACTTTGAAAAGTTCGTCAGAATTATTCGGTAAATAATTAACCGTTGCTAGAGTGATAAACAAACTGAAGACATCCTGGGGCCTACAAAGGCTATAGTTGTTTAAAATCCAGTCAGACAAAGCGTCCAAAATTTCTAGAATAATTAAAAAACAATTAGAATTAGCGTAGACAAAAAATAACCACGAACCGCAATTTTTGTACTTCAGGAGCCCCAAACTGGTGACAATGGACCCGATTACGGCGCTCTTCTCAATATCTTTTTTTAGTTCAAACGTGACATCAGTACAAATTTTGGATAGCAAATTCTCGTCGATAAAATTCAAGTGGCACATGCTGTACAACAAATCAGCGCTTTGTTTCAAGTCTAGTTGCTCCCCACTGGCTGTAATATTGTAAGCTAGAGTCCTCAGAAGCAGCACTGAACGTCGCTTTTTCACCGTAAGCGTGGTCATCACCTGGAAGAATTCGGTTAGTAGTGGCCCCTTAGTTGTAACATTAATTGACCTTGACCATCTGCCCCAAATTCAGCCCTGAAATCAACCGAGCGGCTTCATCGTCCGCCGTCACCATGAGTATCGTCGACAAATCCTCGCTCCGCGACGCTATATTCCTATTAATTTTGGCCCCCTTGCTCAAAATCCGGCACAACTTCACAAAGCGACTGTCGTTCTCGAAGTCAGAAACTTTGACTTTGCCAGAGGATGACCATTCAGCTAGGGTTGACACCACCTTCAGTGCGTGCCTGCGCGAAATCCCGCTTCCTTCCGAAATGGCCAATAGTTCGTTGACGTTTGTGGCTTTAGTGATTTTCTCGTCTGTAACGGGGGTGCTGATTTCCGCCTCCAGCTTCGAAATGGGTTTCAACGAGGCGAAAGCCGCCGCCACCATTCTGTTACCAGTTTTGATGTTCTTAATCTCGTCGGGACGGATTTCGCTGGCTTCAGCCACCGTGGATTTAAATAACTTGTAAGTGAGGAGGGTCTTGTTGTTGCTTCGTAAGTTAGTTATGATGGTTTGAGTCAATTTAAGCATTGTGGTTGTTGGTGGTCCCCCTTATGACATAATAAGTGAGGTTATGACTAGAAACCGTGTCCGGTATTTATCGATTTGAAACGTCGTGGGGTGTTAAATGGGGGGGTTGCTGCGTAAAGTCGCTGAAATACACTTATTTACAACTAAATTATAACTACAATGGACTTAATTATTAAAGTACACTTTTATAACCTCTACTTTTTGCCGTCTTTGACATTGTTGACATTGTTGACACATTAAATATCCCTAAAACAAAAACCCTGCAGTTATAACCATAGATTAATATAGATGCGACATACAGGCTGATTTTGCAAAACCACCCTTATTGACATTGGAGTCCTCAACCGTCAAAGGCACGGTTGTAGAATAGATAGGTTGATACACTAGCATACATTTGCATATCCCTGGTAAGCGACGCCAATTGCCGATCGCGTCGCCTGGTTTTTGACGTTTTAGGGACACAGAACTCTATAGGCATCTGTCTATAACCGATGTAATTAATAAAAGAAATCGTACTTATCGACTCCGATCAAATGTCATTTACAAATTTTGTATTGTTCATAAAGCAATGTAAACGAAAATCCCCAAAATAACTAGAATGATTTCCGCTCGACAAGGTAGAGGCGCTAGCTGTATGTGTCCTTTCCATGGATATAGGGATCGAAAAGAAGCGTCGCCATCCCAAGCCATTAGTGTACAAACCTATCTATTCTACAACCGTGGTCAAAGGCAAGCGCCAAATTTAAATAGTTAGTGTAAAACTTGTTTCACTACGACTCGTCGCCTGAGAACTTGTTTGATCTACAGACCAGAGCGCGCTCAGGCCAATGTCGACTCTAAGCGTTCAGAAGCGATTTGGTTGGTTAGGACTATAATTTCTGCGGGAAATGATATTCACAGTGAGAAAAAAAAAAAATCAAAATAATCGAAAATACGAAAAATCGAGAAATCTAATAATCGAAAAATCGAAACCCTAAAAAATCGTAAAACCGAAACATTGAAAAATCGAAATATCGAAGAACTGAAAATCGAAAAAATGTAAAATTCAAAAATCTAAAATTTAAAAACCGAATAACGAAAAATCGAGAAATCGAAACTGCCAAATTTAAAAAATCGGATAACTGAAAAATCGAAAAATCAAAAGATCAAGAAATCGTGGAGTCGAAAAGTCGAACAATTTGGAAACCGAAGTAGGCCAAAATCGAAAAATCGAAAAGTTAAAAATTGAACAAATTATAAATTGAGAAATTGACAATCAAAATATCGAAAAATCCAAATCTCGATAAATAGAGAAATCAAAAAAATTAAAAATTCGAAAAATTGAGAAGAGATAAATCGACAAACAAAAAGTTAAAAGTTGAAAAATTGGAAAAGCGGAAAAATCAAAAAACGAAAAATGGAAAACTGGAAAAACTGAGAAACCGAAATAGGCCAACACAAAAAATTGAAAAAATGATAAATCGAAAACATGAATAATCAGATCTCGATAAATCTGGAATGGAAAATTAACAAATCGAAAAATTGAAAAACAGAATATCTAAAACCAGGAAGTCGAAAAATCGAAAGGTTAAGAAATATTGAAAAATTAAACATAAATCGAAAAATCTAAAATTTAAAAATCCCTAAATTGAAAAATCGAAAAAGTAAAAAGATATATAAAGAAAAATCGAAAAATAAATCAAAAAAGTGAAGTTGAAAAATAGAAACCTTAAAAAATCGAAAAATTGAAAAATCAAAAACCTGAAAAATCAAAAAATTAAGGAATTGAAGAATCGGAAAATCGAAACACTCGAAGGTCAAGAAATGTGAAAATCGAAACATCGATTAATTGAAAAATCGAAAAATTAAGAGTTTATAAAAGTTTGAAAAATTCTGAAATGAAAAATGGAGAAATCGAAAAATCTAAAATTTTAAGAATTAGAAAATCTAAAATTTAAAAATCGAAAAAGTAAAAAAATCGACACATCGAAAAATTCCAGGAGTCAAAAATCGAATCGATTTTTTGAATTTCCCATTTCTAAATTTTTTGACTTTTCAGTGTTTGAATTCAAGTTCCGGGTTTTCGTTTTTCAATTTTCGATTTTTCAAATTTTCCATTATTATTATTCGGCTTCCACTTTAAGACGTTTCGATTTCTCAATTTTTCGGTCTTTTAGTTTCGGCATTTTTCAATATTTCGATTCTTCAGTTTTTCGATTTTTCGACTTTTCGATTTCTCGGTTTTTATTTTTTCGTTTTTTTAGTTTTTGGATTTTAAAATTTTAAATTTTTCAACTTTCAGTTTTTCCAAATTTTAATTTTTCAATTATGAAGACATTGCATTTTTCGGTTTCTCTATTTTTCGATTTTTAAAACAAATTTTTCGGTGTTTCAATGGGATCAATTTCTCGATTTTTCGATTCTTCAATTTTTCTATTTTTTCAGTTTTGACCTATTCCGATTTCTCAAATTTTCGATTTTTCTACTTTTCGGCTATTCGGTTATTCGATTTTCCATTTTTTTGATGTTTCAATTTTTAATTTTAGACATTTGGATTTATCGATTTGTCGATTTTTCAGTTCTCCGATATATTTTTCAATGTAGCGGATTTTTAAATTTTTGATTTTTCAGTTTTTTGGTGTTTCAATTTTTCGTTTTTACAATTTTTTAATGTTTTGATTTCTTGACGATCCGGTTTTTCTACTTTTAAAATTTTTCAAAATTTTGGATTTTTAGATTTCTCGATTTTTCGAGTTTTCGATTTCTCAATTTTTTAATACATATTTTAATTTTGACAACTTTTGCATTTCTCGATTTTTCAATTTTTCGGTTTATAACGTTTCTAAATGTTCATTTTTACGATTTCCTAATTTCTCAATTAATCAATTTTTTATTATTCCATTTTTCAATTTTTTACTTTTCGGTGGTTCGATTTTTCAGTTTTTCAATTAAATGTTTTGAATTTTCGTGTTATCGTTTTTCCATTTTTCAATTTTCCAAATTTTCGATTATCCGACTTCCAGTTCTCGACTTTTCGATTTCTCAATTTGTCGATAAAATTTAAAAATCGAAAGAGTAAAACTGAAATATGCAAAAACTGAGAACCCAAAAAGTTGAAAAATCCAAAAAGTGAAGTCGAAAAATCGAAACCTTAAAAAAACTAAAAATGAAAAATCAAAAACTTGAAAAATCGAAAAATTAAAGAATTGAAGAACAGGAAAATCGAAACCCTCGAAAGTCAAGAAATGGGAACATTAAAACATCGATTAATTGAAAATTCGAAAAATTGACAGTCAAAATGTCAAATTTGAAAAAATGAAAAATCCAAAATTTGAAAAAACGGCAATTGAAAAACAGAAAATCTAAAACAGGGAAGTCGAAAAATCGAAAGATTAAGCATCCGAAAAATTGAAAAATCGAAAAAGTAAAAAAATCGACACATCGAAAACTCCAGAAGCCAAAAATTCGAAAAGTCGAAGAATCGAAATTTCGAAATATTGAAAAATCCCAAAACTGAAAATATCGAAAAACTGAAAAATGAAAGAAAAACTGAAAAATCTGAAAACTGAAATATCCAAAAACTGAGACCTTAAAAGTCGAAAAATTAAGCAATCGAAAAATGCAAAAAGGGAAGTCGAAAAATCTAAACCTTAAAAAAACTGAAAAATGAAAAATCAAAAACCTGAAAAATCGAAAAATTAAAGAATTGAAGAACAGGACCATCAAAACCCTCGAAAGTAAGAAATGGGAAAATCAAAACATCGATTAATTGAAAAATCGAAAAATTGACAGTTTATAAATGTCAAATTTGAAAAATCGAAAATTTTAAAAAACGGCAGTTGAAAAACAGAAAATCTAAAACAGGGAAGTCGAAAAATCGATAAATTAAGAAATCAAAACATTTAAAAAATTCGAAAACTTGAAAAACTGAAATATCGAAGAACTGAAATGAAAAATCGAGAATTCGAAAAATCTAAAATTTTAAGTATTGAAAAATTAAAATATCAAAAACTGAACAATTTAAAATTTAAAAATCGAAAAATCGAAAGATTAAGAAATCGAAACATTTGAACAATTGAAATATGGAAGAGCTGAAATGAAAAATCGAGAAATCGAAAAATTAAAATACCTAAAAACCAAGAAATCTAAAATTTAAAAATCGAAAAAGTAAAAAGTCGACAAATCGAAAAATCCAGAAGTCAAAAATGGAAAAGTCGAAGAACAGAAACATTGAAAAATCCCAAAACTGAAATATCGAAAAACTGAAAAATGAAAGAAAAACTGACGAAACGAAAAACTGAAAAATCCCAAAATTAAAAAATTGAGAAATGGAAAAATCAAAAAAATGAAGTTGAAAAATCTAAACCTGAAAAAATAGAAAAATTGAAAAACCAAGAAACTTGAAAAATCAATTCATTGAAAAATCGACAAATAAAGAGTTTATAAAAGTCAAAAATTGAAAAATCGAAATATTTAAAAATCGTAAAATTGAAGAAAAAAACTGAAAACCAAGAAATTTAAAAATTGAGAAATTGTAAAATCCAAAAATTGAATAGTAAATAGGAGTAAAGTGAAAAGTCTCCAAACTAAAATTTCGACAAACTGAGTTTCGGTTAGAATGTGTAACAGATCACGGATCATGGCTTATGAATCAAATCGTTTCCGAACGCTTAGAGTCGACATTGGCCTGAGTGCGCTCTGGTCTGTAGATCAAACAAGTTCTCAGACGACGAACTGTAATTCGTAATATTCTGGTAAATCTAGTGTCAACATAACAAACACTGTTGCCAACATAAGTCGAGGAGTCCTCAACCGTCATTTAATTTAAACTATGACGCTTCTCTATGTTCTCTGTTATAACTATAACCTCAAAAACATTGCTACAGAACCAAAGAAAATGACCGGAATAATAGCAGTTCATTGTGGTAAATTCAAAAAAGCGGTTTTTCAGCCTCTAGTTTTCCATTTTCAGGGGCTGGCAGCCACAGCAGCTCTCACTACGCCAAATACAACAAACTATCGAAAAAAGCCTGCAAAAAAGGCGTCGAAGTGCTACTGAACGGCGGAAGTGCGCTTGATGCCGTTAAAGTCGTTATCGCAGTCCTGGAAAACGACCCCCTAACGAATTGCGGCTACGGCTCCAATTTAACTATGGACGGACGTGTGGAAGGAGACGCTTCAGTCATGGACGGGCGCACACTGATTTACGGGGGCTGCGGTGCCGTCAGAAACGTCAAAAACCCCATACATTTGGCGTACGACATTTGTGTGAAGCAGTTAACCCCGTTGCCCCTGGGTTTAATTCCGCCGTCGTTGCTTGTGGGAAAGGGGGCTCTGGAGCAGGCCAGAGCGTCTCGCGTGAAGACTGTCAACCAAAAGTCGTTGATTAGTCCAAAGGCGTGGTCGCAGTTTGTCAAATATAAAAAGAAACTGGAGGCTGAGAAAAGTGCCGAGTTGTTGGACACAGTGGGGGCTGTTTGTTTGGATAAAAATGGAGATGTGGCAGCTGGGTGCAGTTCTGGTAATGAGTGAAGTGTGTAGGTCACCAATGATGGTGTTTTGTAGGGGGGATACTTCTAAAGCGACCGGGAAGAGTAGGCCAAGCTGCTATTTATGCATCTGGGGTGTGGGCTGACAGTTTTAATAAAGAAGCGGAAAACCCGGTGGCTGTGTGTACCTCAGGGTGTGGGGAGCACCTAGTCAGGACCCATTTAGCCCAAACTATCAGTGAAGATATCAAAAATTGCTCGTGTCCAACCAAAGCCTTGAGTGATTCTATTACTCAAAGATTTCTAAGTGAGATGATTTGGTTGGTGGAAGTGACAATGTGAATTAGATTCTCGATATTTGCAGAGTGTCTCGAATAAGCTCTGTGGGGCTTTGGTGTTACATGTAGATAATCAGACTGGCGACATTTCGGTTCTGTGGGCCCACACTACCCAGACCATGAGTGTTGGGTTTATGACCTGTCTTGATAAAAAAGCGACGGTAAAGCATAATTTTGTGTGTTTCATGTATTTATCGGTTTTTTCAGGCAGTAGTTTCACAGTTACCAGATGACGTTCCAGTTGGGGTTAAAGTGAACGTGAGTGGGGTTTTTCATCGCAAGGAGTAAAAGTGGTTGGTGCTAAAAGCACGTTTTTTTTACACAAGTGCGTTCATTGCCAAGAATTTGTGTGATGATTCTTGATGAGAAAAAGTTGAAAACAGTGTGTAAAAATAAATTAATAAATATTAAAAAAATCATGTTGTTCTTCAAGGGTGAAACCACAGGCACAAAACAGGTGAAACTGAAAGAATAATTAACTTTTTAAAACATAAAAGGAAATATTAGTAACATTCTTCAAAAGTCTTATAAAAGATTCAGTTGGAATTTTGACAGTCAATAGTTTACGCCCGCAAATGACGAAAATAAAGTAATATAAAAGCTAAATTGCGTAATTTTTTTTTTATTTCGTTTGTGTTTCTTACAAATTTCGCCTGAAAACTTGTTTGATGTACAGACCAGAGCGCATTCAGGGAGGAAGTTTACACTCGCCATTCAAAATAACATTGTTTATAAATACAATATGTAAAAATGCACCAAAAACCCTCGAATTTTCCAATTTTCAGGTTTTCAGGTCTCAGAAAAATAATTCCGCTAATTTCCATGTTTTTTGCGCTACGCCGCTTTGCAATTTTTCGATTTTTTACTTTTTTGGCTTTTTTTTGTTTTCTCAATTTTTAATTTCTCAGTTTTTGGATATTTCAGTTGTGAGATTTTTCAGGTTCTGCATTCTTCAATTTTTCTTTCGTTTTTCAATTTTTCGAAATTTCAGTTTTAGGATTTTTCAGATTATTTATTATTACCCAATTTTTCGATTTTACAATTTTTCAGTTTTTCCATTTTTCCATAAATCGATGTTTTGATTTTCCCATTTTTTTTTTTACTTTCGACTGTTTCGATTTTATTATTCTCCAATTTTTCAATTTTTTGATATTTTTATTTTTCAATTTTTAAACTTTGAAATTTTTCGATTTCTCGATTTTTCATTTCAGTTCTTCAATATTTCAATTTTTCAAGTTTTCGATTTATTATTATTTCGATTAATCTTTCGATTTTTCGACTTACCGGTTTTAGATTTCCTGTTTTTCAATTTTATTTTTCGTTTTTTTCAAATTTTCGACTTTTAAATTCGATTTTTTAATGTTTTGATTTCCCAATTTGTCAAGATTTGGATGTTTCGATTCTTCAATTTTTCAATTTTTTAGGTTTTACGTTTGTTTCAATTTTTCAATTTTTGACATTTCTAAATTATCAATTTTTGGATTTTTCAATAAATCGATGTTTTTCTTGACTTTCGACTGTTTTGATTTCTCTATTTTTTAAGGTTCCGATTTTTCGACTTCACTTTTTTAATTTTTTGAATTCTCAGTTTTTCAATTTTTTAGATTCTCAATTTTTCGAAATTTTGGTTTTAGGATTTTTTAGTTTATTTATTAGTCAATTTTTCGATTTTATAATTTTTCAATTTTTCTCTTCTTCAATTTTACGATTGTGAAATATTTGATTTGGTAATTTTTTAAATTTGACTCTTGTAAATTCTCATTGTTTCGATTTTTCATTTTTTCGATTCGTCAATTTTTCAATTTTTTAGGGTTTTGATTTTTCAATTTTCCGATTTTTGAAGGTTTTGATTTTTTGACTTCACTTTTTTGACTTTTTGATTACTCGATTTTTTAATTTTTGTTTTTAGATATTTCAGTTTTGAAATTTTTCGATTTTTCCGTTCTTCAGTTTTTCTTTTATTTTTCAACTTTACGATTTCTCTTCAATTTTACGATTTTTAAAATGGCGATTTTTCAGTTTTTCAATTTTTGACGTTTCTAAATTCTCAATTTTTCCATTTTTCAATTAATCGATGTTCTGATTTTCCCATTTCTTGACTTTCGACTGTTTAGATTTTCCTGTACTTCAATTCTTCAATTTTTCGATTTTTCAGGTTTTCGAATTTTCAATTTTTCGATTTTTTTTAGGGTTTCAATTTTTCGACTTCACTTTTTTGGTTTTTCAATTTCTCAATTTTTAAATTTTTTAGATTTTCAGTTTTTTCATTCTTCAATTTTTCGATTTTTCAGGTTTTTGATTTTATAATTTTTCAATTTTTGACATTTCTAAATTCTCAATTTTTGGAATTTTCAATAAATCGATGTTTTAATTTTCCCATTTATTGACTTTCGACTGTTTTGATTTTTCTATTTTTTAAGGTTTCGATTTTTCGACTTCACTTTTTGATTTTTCGAATTCTCAATTTTTCAATTTTTTAGATTCTCAATTTTTCGAAATTTCGGTTTTGGGATTTTTTAGTTTATTTATTAGTCAATTTTTCGATTTTATAATTTTTCAATTTCACGATTTTCAATTTTTCTCCTCTTCAATTTTACGATTTTGAAATATTTGGTTTGGTAATTTTTCAAATTTGACTCTTGTAAATTCTCATTGTTTCGATTTTTCATTTTTTCGATTCGTCAATTTTTCAATTTTTTAGGATTTTGATTTTTCAGTTTTCCGATTTTTGAAGGTTTTGATTTTTTGGCTTCACTTTTTTGACTTTTTAATTACTCAATTTTTTAATTTTTGTTTTTAGATATTTCAGTTTTGAAATTTTTCGATTTTTCCGTTCTTCAGTTTTTCTTTTATTTTTCAATTTTTGACGTTTCTAAATTCTCAATTTTTCGATTTTTCAATTAATCGATGTTTGATTTTCCCAGTTTTGATTTTACAATTTCTCGATTTCTCAATTTTCCGACTTTTGGATTTTTGACTTCTGGATTTTTCGATGTGTCAATTTTTTCACTTTTTTGATTTTTAAATTTTAGATTTTTCAATTTTTTGATATTTTAATTTTTCAATTTTTAAAATTTAAAGTTTTTCGATTTCTCGATTTTTCATTTCAGTTCTTCAATATTTCAATTTTTCAAGTTTTCGAATTATTATTATTTCGATTAATCTTTCGATTTTTCGACTTCCCGGTTTTAGATTTCCTGTTTTTCAATTTTATTTTTCGTTTTTTTCAAATTTTCGACTTTTAAATTTTTCGATTTTGTTTTGTTTTGATTTCCCAATTTGTCAAGATTTGGATGTTTCGATTCTTCAGTTTTTCAATTTTTTAGGTTTTTGATTTCTCAATTTTTCAATTTTTTAAGGTTTTGATTATTCCACTCCACTTTTTGACTTTTTGATTTCTCAATTTTTCATGTATTAGTTTTTCAGTTTTGAGATTTTTCAGTTTTTCCATTCTTGAGTTTTTCTATCGTTTCTGAATTTCTCGATTTTCAGTCTTTCGTTTTCTCAATTTTCCGATGTTTCAGTTTTACGTTTTTTTCAATTTTTCAATTTTTGACATTTCTAAATTCTCAATTTTTGGATTTTTCAATAAATCGATGTTTTGATTTTCCCATTTATTGACTTTCGACTGTTTTGATTTTTCTATTTTTTAAGATTTCGATTTTTCAGTTTTTCCATTCGTCAATTTTTTTTTCATTTTTAAATTCTTCGAAATTTCAATTTTAGGATTTTGTCAGATCATTTATTATTCAATTTTTCGATTTTACAATTTCTCAATTTTCCGTCTTTTGGATTTTTGACTTCTGGATTTTTCGATGTGTCGATTTTTTTACTTTTTCGATTTTTAAATTTTAGATTTTTCAATTTTTAAAATTTAAAATTTTTCGATTTCTCGATTTTTCATTTCAGTTCTTCAATATTTCAATTTTTAAGTTTTCGAATTATTATTTCTATTAATCTTTCGATTTTTCGACTTCCTGGTTTTAGATTCCCTGTTTTTCAATTTTGTTTCGTTTTTTTCAAATTTTCGACTTTTAAATTTTTCGATTTTTTAATGTTTTGATTTCCCAATTTGTCAAGATTTGGATGTTTCGAATCTTCAGTTTTTCAATTTTTTAGGTTTTTGACTTTTATAAACTCAATTTTTCGATTTTTTATTTCTCAATTTTTCAATTTTTTAGGTTTTTGATTTCTCAGTTGTTCAATTTTTTAAGACTTTTGATTTTTCCACTTCACTTTTTGACTTTTTGATTTGTCAGTTTTTCAATTTGTTAATTTTTCAGTTTTGAGTTTTTTCAGTTTTTCCATTCTTGAGTTTTTCTATCGTTTCTGAATTTCTCGATTTTCAATCTTTCGATTTCTCAATTTTTCGATGTTTCAGTTTTACGTTTTTTTCAATTTTTCAATTTTTGAGATTTCTAAATTCTCAATTTTTGGATTTTTCAATAAATCGATGTTTTGATTTTCCCATTTATTGACTTTCGACTGTTTTGATTTTTCTATTTTTTAAGGTTTCGATTTTTCGACTTCACTTTTTTAATTTTTCGAATTCTCAATTTTTCAATTTTTTAGATTCTCAGTTTTTCGAAATTTCGGTTTTGGGATTTTTTAGTTTATTTATTAGTCAATTTTTCGATTTTATAATTTTTCAATTTCACAATTTTCAATTTTTCTCCTCTTCAGTTTTACGATTTTGAAATATTTGGTTTTGGTAATTTTTCAAATTTGACTTTTGTAAATTCTCATTGTTTCGATTTTTCATTTCTTCGATTCGTCAATTTTTCAATTTTTTAGGGTTTTGATTTTTCAGTTTTCCGATTTTTGAAGGTTTTGATTTTTCCACTTCACTTTTTGACTTTTTGATTTGTCAGTTTTTCAATTTGTTAATTTTTCAGTTTTGAGTTTTTTCAGTTTTTCCATTCTTGAGTTTTTCTATCGTTTCTGAATTTCTCGATTTTCAATCTTTCGATTTCTCAATTTTTCGATGTTTCAGTTTTACGTTTTTTTCAATTTTTCAATTTTTGACATTTCTAAATTCTCAATTTTTGGATTTTTCAATAAATCGATATTTTAATTTTCCCATTTATTGACTTTCGACTGTTTTGATTTTTCGAATTCTCAATTTTTCAATTTTTTAGATTCTCAATTTTTCGAAATTTTGGTTTTGGGATTTTTCAGTTTATTTATTAGTCAATTTTTCGATTTCACAATTTCTCAATTTTTCAAATTCACGATTTTCAATTTTCCTCTTCAATTTTACGATTTTGAAATATTTGGTTTTGGTAATTTTTCAAATTTGCCTTTTGTAAACTCTGAATGTTTCGATTTTTCATTTCTTCGATTCGTCAATTTTTCATTTTTTTAGGTTTTTGATTTTTCACTTTTTCAATTTTTTAAGGTTTTGATTTTTTGACTTCACTTTTTTGACTTTTTGATTACTCAATTTTTTAATTTTTGTTTTTAGATATTTCAGTTTTGAAATTTTTCGATTTTTCTGTTCTTCAGTTTTTCTTTCATTTTTCGATTTTACAATTTCTCAACTTATCAATTTCTCGAATTATCAATTTTCCGATGTTTCAGTTTTGTTTTTTAAAT